GCCTGGACGGTTAGCGTCGCCCCGCCTCCCGACCCGCGAGGATTGCGATTGGTCCGCAGCCGCGCCCGGAGGGTACGCAGCCTCCTATTGGCCCGCGCTCCGAGGGCGGCTTCCGCTCACGCCGCTTTCAAATAGGAGCGCGCGCCGGGCGCGGCCACGCCCCCCCCACCTGGTGGTTCAGACCTGGGGCGCCCGCAGGCGTGGCACCGGCTGCGTGACTTGATGTGGCCCTGGCGGTTACAAGTTTGGCTGTTTGTGAGAACAGGCCCGATGCTGGAAACCCTCACAGGAGGAAGAGTGAAAGGACCCGGGAACCTTTGATCTGGAGACGGGGATATGTGATACTTCTCTTCATTTATTTTAAATGTTTTTCTAGTGGAAGACTTTACTGCTTCAGCAGACATCTAAGATCAATGAGTGAAAGTTAAAGGGATGCAAAATCTAGTGCAATTAAGCAGGTTAGGAATTAGAACTCTGAAGAACAGAGCAGGTAAAGTTACGAGGTAGAGAATTCCTTCATCACTGGAAATGTTCAAGTGAAAGTTAGGGATAGCGCTAACGGGATCCTTGCATTGGGTGAAAAATCGTAATAGGTGACTTTAAATCCTTCTTCCAACTCTAGATGTGGTACTGCCTGACCAAGATACTACCTGTTTATAGCGAAGCCAGCCTTGACTTCTCCAAGTTTCTTTTGCCAAAGGTCAGTCTTCTGTGAGAAGTTATGGCTGGCTCCGACCTGACTTGAATCCAGAGGACACGGCTGGAACGTGACTAGCCTTTGGGAATACTGCGGCTGAAAATAAAACCAAACACCCAAACCTCATCTCGCTTCTCTCAGTTCATTGTGTAGTTTGGAACAGTAATGGCAAAGGAGTAGTGACTAGTCTTTCTAAACTTGCAAACCAACGAAATTTTGACCACCGCAGTGATTTCTGCATTTAATCCACATTGGTGTTAAGGAGCACCTGGTTCCCAAGCCCACTGAATGGTACGTCTCCTCCGCAGAGCCACGCATTCATTCACTGGGGCTCTGTCCGTGATTCTCTCCTGGAGATCCTCACATTGGTTATAGGAATAAACCAGAGAAGTAGCTTATGAGTTACAAACAAGGAATCCTGTTACTCTCAATCTAATTTTCAGTTAGTTGTTGCAGTTTTGCATTTATTGTTAACATTTACTCACGGTAGTGAAGTGTTTTCTATTATAATTCTGGAGCTAGGGGCTTATTTTACCACCGAGATTTTCTGTTTTAATCCCTTCATTGTCTTCTCATCTTTCTACCCCAACTGTAAATGTGTATCCCAATTACAGTTCTGTCTTTAGAACTGAAATTGATTACTTCTTTGGGTGGTTCTCTGAGAAACAAGTCTTAAAAATGTCTCTTAGACATTTTAGAAAAAGCAGGAACTGTACTAAGTCTGATGTTAAGGAGAGATGGTATGATAAAACAAATACCTATAGTCGTAGCAACCAAACTGAAAAGGATTGGACAAAAGAAAAAAAAACCCTCCGTGGGCTGTATGTACAGGTTCCATTTGTCCACCAGAGGGTAGTATGTTAAATGATGGGAACAGAGGCTAGGCTGAAAAATATTCATAAACTGTCACCGGTTTTAAAAACGGAGTATTGTAATATTGTGATTTATTTTTAAGTGAATATTGGGAAATTAATGAAAGCTCCTTTACTTATTCAAGAATACACATGCATCATAGCTGGCTCATTACATTCATTTAAAAGCACAAAAATTGTATTTTATTTATACACAGGATTTCTCAGCATTTACTCACCTGTGTATAAAATATATTTCCTTTAGAATAGAGTATTTATGTAGGAAATATAAACTATCATGTTTGCTTGATGAGCTGATTGTATTAGATTATTCTCAAAGAGCCCTAGTTAGAGGAAGATATTTCAGAAAAAAAGGGCCTGATTTTAATTTTGAAAAACTTTTCAAGCCATTATACGTGGATTAATTTTGTTTTATTTTTTGTGGCATGACTTTTTTTGTGTGCTGAGCCAGTTAAATTAGCTTATAGTAATTATTACTGCTTTCTGTAATCAAATAGCTGGAAAGATACATTCCTCTCCCTCCAGTTAGGTATGCACTTAAATTACCCAAGGAACTTAACCTATATTTTTCTTTACGGTCTCCAAAGAGATTATTACACCCTTACTACCTCAGGAAAAAAAAAAAAAGCAAATGAAATAGATAGAGTAAGGAAGGACTTCTAGTTTTGAGACTGAATTCTTCTTGTTGAAATTTAAGTTCACACCTCTTGCTGAAGTAAGGATTTAACTTGAACTTTGCCAGTTTTAGCTTATTTATACAACTGGAACCAGGTATTTCTTCTTTCCTGGTTCTAAATGTGAAAAAAAATATACAGCCAAAATAAATGTAACATTGATCGCTGGAAATTTTACCCATTTAAAAATCAATTCTAGAAAACCAGTCTGCCAGTAAAACACACAATTAAATTACACATATTTCTTTTGAGCAGCTGTCATGTCCTAGGAACATAACAATAAAATGCTGCATGTGAACTGCTCTCAGAGATGTGCTCCTGAGATTTCAACAGTTTTCATTTTTTGCCGAAACCTTGCTCCTCTCTTACTTTTTGGCTTCCTTGTCAGAGTGGTAGAGTTTAGCTAATGATGGTTTCTTGAAAAGGGTTAGGCTACTAGCTAAGTATTCTTTCCCATCTGACTTAGCATCTCTTTTATGCTGTTAGGAGATTTCTATTTGAGAGTCCTGTGGGCAGTGTTAGTTACCAGCAAGACGCAGTTAGAATAGGAGCCTCCATGTTGATTAGTTACAACGTAAATCTCATACAGAATTTGTAATTGCAATAGATGATGAGGTATTACAAGTTCAATGGTGACTATAAATTAACGTAGGTGGCAATGAAAACAAGGCCATTAAAGTACACATTATTATACCTTGATTGTTTTTATTCACAGTATTTTATTCACAGTTTAAGAACATGCTGCAGCTAGACTTACTTCGTATTCATAAAGTATTTAAGAATACCTAATTAAAGCTTATTGTGGATAGACACAGTATTAAATACAATGTTTTGCATTTGTATGTCACTTTTCATTTGATTCTCAGTTCATGTCAGGGGAAACTGAGGCACAGGGAGATGTTCACATGAAAGAATATCATAAAGTTTCCCTTTACAATGCCCTAATCATTTTTTGCAAATTTTTTTCAATGAAAAATTTCAAACATACAGAAAAGTTTAAAGAACTTAATAATTGTATATGCTCTCTTTCATTACGGACAACACATTTAATAATACTTTGTTGGGACTAAGGCCCTGGGGGGGTATAGTTATTAAATCGATCTTACAGATGTTATCACTAAGTTTACTGTGAATATGAAAAAATGTACATAAGAGCTTAGTATGCTCTGTAGCATCTTTTTGTAACTTTGGGGATAAAAATCATAAAAGACAAAAAATTCTGTGTCCTAAGAATTTAATATCCATGAAAAGGTAGAGGAGGAGGGAGAAAGAAGGGAAATTACTGTTTATTGTGAGCTGATGTACACGGGGATAGTACTAGGTATCCTTGCATTTTTTCTCACTCGATCCACAGGACTACCCTGCGAGCTATTATTATTCCCATTTTACAAATAAGGGAACAGGATGGGAGAAGTCAAGTCACTAGTCTAGAGATGTTTCAATTTGAATTCAAAGGTTATGCTCTTCACTATACCTGGATACATCCTTCCCAGGACCTTTCCGGGTCTGGAATATAAGTGTCATGTTGAAAGTATTTATGCATAATATGTAGAACTGTATGGATATCCATGCTCCTCTTGCCCACACACAGTTACAGTAACACATGTTAATGTCTTATATGTTAATGTTAATAATACTCTAGATTTGGAACCAAAACGTGGATTTCAGTTTTTCAGGTAGTTTATGTCTAGTTTTCCCCAATAGAAAATAGAGGTAATTATTGCCCTTTTCCACTTCGAAGGACTGATATGAACATTAAGGGATCAAATATTAGTTGGTAGTCAGAACAAGAGTAGACTACGATTCCCAAGGTGCCCAAAGAGCCTGACGCCGGTCCAACAAACAGTTCCAGCTTTAGGGCAAAGGTGACCCCTCCAGGTCCCGCGCCCAAGTAGGGGGCAGCGGGGCTTCGCCTCTTTCCGGATGCATCCAGGGAGCTGTAGTTCCCTGAGGGTCCGGGCGCACGCTTAGGGCCAGTGTTCTACTACAAGTCCCGCGATGACCCGGGGCCGGGCGGCGCCTGCGTGTTGAAGCCGAGGGAGAGTGCGGGCGGCGCTCACGGCGGGAGGAGTAAAGATGGTGGCGCGGGGGTCTCCGCCTTCTGCTCCCAGCGGAGCGCTCTGAGGGAGGCGGCTGCGGCAACCCGAGCGGCAACAGCAGTCCGGTGGCGGGTTTCAGCAGCGGCTGCCGAGGCCGGAGCAATGGCGGAGCTGGAGCACCTGGGCGGGAAGCGGGCGGAGTCGGCGCGAATGCGGCGGGCTGAGCAGCTTCGGCGCTGGCGGGGCTCGCTGACCGAGCAGGAGTCGGCGGAGCGCCGCGCGGGGCGGCAGCCGCAGACCCGTTGCGGGAGCCCCAGGGTCCGCTTCGAGGACGGTGCCGTCTTCCTGGCCGCTTGCTCCAGCGGGGACACAGACGAGGTGAAAAAGCTCCTGGCGAGAGGTGCCGATATCAACACGGTCAACGTGGACGGCTTGACAGCCCTGCACCAGGTAACTCTCCGCGTCCTGCGGGCGTCTGGTCTCCCCCAGAGGTGCCCGCGACCCCTGCGAGCCTCCCCTGGAGGGTCGCTGTCACTGCCAAGCCCTCCAGCGCGGGCGCTGGTCCCGCTGGGCTGGTCGGATTCGCCCTCGGCCAGCTTCCTCCGCCAGCCAAGCCCTCTTCCTTCCCCGGGGTCTCCACCTAAGGCGATAGTGTCACCCCGCCGCCCGGTCAGTGTTTGTATTTCCCTCCACCCACTTGGGTTGTCATAGTTACTGGTGATTTGGTCCTGGGGTATCCCTTTGTCATCCGCACTTCTGCCCGGTTCGTGTGCCTGTGCACCGTGTCACTCATCCGTGCACTGTCAATGTCATTTGTCTGATGCCCTTTCGGAAAATTCAGGGTTCCGTCCGCGTGGCCCTGTCGAAGAGCGTCTTTAGACCACTTACAGCGTACATCTCTATTGGGGTGAAGCCAGCAGATCCGGGACCACACCGCTTGCCTTGCTGATTCGCAATGATTCATAAACAGTTGGTGTCTCCTATAGGGTACAGGCCCTAGAACAACTCTGAACTCGTTACGGGTGGCGTATTAGCAGCGTTCTCTCGCTAAGGACGTCCATGGAGAACCAACGGACTGAATCGCTTAGGCTTGTTAGATACCTATAGAATCGCCTGCTTCTTTTCTTTCTTTTTTCTTTTAAAGCCCTCTATAGAAATCACATGCCTTATGTATAGCTATATTATACGGATTGTGCGTAATTTAACAGTTCCGTGTTTGGTAATAACACCTTTACTTCTCTCATCTTACGCAACAGCATTCTGTCGTAAGTGCCCACCCTCCCTTCCCAAATGGAATTCCATCAGTCATTTTGGTGAGCTGAGAGCTGGACACCCACTCTTACTCTTCTTTCTTTTTCTTCTTCTGTCCTTGCAAAGTGAACGTGTTGGCATGAGAACCCACTTCTAACTAATAGTTTAATTTTGTGTCATACCACTTCCCTGAGTGTATTAGCCAATAGCTTCAAATTACTCCTCATCATGATTGGCAACCCTTCCCTTGCAGGAGGAAGAACCGTCTCTCCTTTTCACCCTCTTGAATCTGTTTTCTTTCCCCTGCTCATAGCAGTGCCCCACCAAAGGTAGCCATCAACATTTGTATACGCCTTTGCTGTTTAAAGATTATTCTATATACCTTACTTCATGTGAATCTCAGCAGTGATCCTTTCAAGTAGGAGTGGCAGGTAGTTTTGTTATTCCCATTTTACAGGTGAGGAATCTGAAGCTTAAAATTGTTACTTGCACAAGATTAGAAAAGAAGTCGCCCTTAGGCATGAAATTTTCAGATTTAAATTCCAGAGCTTTATATGCCACCTAATTAGGAGCTGAATATAAGATGCCCAGAGGGCCACATTTATTATTTTAAATTTCTGAACTTTCTGAGAAGGTGAATTTTTATTTTCAAATGTATTTGAGATGTTGGAGATTGAGATCCTGGGGGAAAGAAACCATCTCGTGGGTTCATAGAAGATAGAGAAATAGAATCCAGCTTTATAATCCATGTGTTCCTTCACTATTTCATCAAAACACAGTTTTCTTAGTGTAACTCAGTACCCCTTTTTCTTTTAAGGGGTACTGCTACTCTGCTAGCTGAGTCTGGTCCTTACCATGCACATTTTAATAACATCCTGAGAAAAGTGCCTACTGAGGTCACTCTTGGTAGACCTTCTCCCCACACCAGACAGCCAGTTCTCTGGTCCTTTCTCCTGAGACTGACTTCCTTGGTGCCTTTCCCTCTCTCTGAACCGCCACCCGGACTGGGAAGCGCAACTTCTCTCAGTTAATGTGCTCTACACATTCAGTTATCTCTTGAAATAAGAGAGGAAAGAGATGACAGCCATGGAATGTATTTTTAAACACTTGTAAATGCAGTGTAGGCATTCCTCCCTCCTTGCAGGGCTGGCAATAAGGAGAGTAGAACAGGTATAGTGAATACTAGATAAATCCAGGTAAAGATTATGCTACTCAAAGAGCTGAGGTCAAAAACACCTTCTGTTGAGAAACCATCTCTTTGTTTCAATCAAGACAAGGGAGCTTTATTGACTCAGAAACTCTTACAAGTCAGTCTCTGCAGTTACAATATAGACTCCCATGGTCTGAAGAACTCTTTAAGGTACATAAAGGATTATTTTCAAAATGTGAGATTGGAGCCACCAGTAGCTGGACCACCTACTGTATGACTGATTGTCCTTCTGTGAAATGGAGAGTGGCACAATTAGCTGAATTATTTTAAATGAATGTCTGTTATATAAGCATGAGACGAATTATCAGGATAATCTTTTCCTTTCTTTCCTTTGTCCGTGGTTTCTTGGCCGACTATGGTTTATAATCTTGGCATGTTGGAAGAAACCCCCAGATGATATTAGGGGACCATTTTTCTCCTCCTCCCTCAAGGTCACAGTAGGTGATTGGAACTTCAAGTTGTGGTGCCTTGATACTACTTTTGACTTAGAGCCCTTTCTTTCTTGGCAGCCTTGATTTGTCCATGAGGCGCTTAAGTCCAAGATAACCTCCAGGGGGCCTCTTAATAATACTTGAAATAGGCTGGGGTAAGAGGTACTGAGTGGTTAGACCTACGCTTATGAAAGCCTTGGAAGCTGATGTAGACTAAACTGGGGTGCATAAATTGTGTTTGCCCTAGTATCCTAGAGTCTTCAGTGAAAACTGCATTAATCTGACCCTATAACCCTAGAAAGCACTTGTTTGCTCACAGAGGAATTCCCATTTCGTTTGTGTGTAAACAGTATAGGCCATGAAGTATGGGTTAAGAATTCTGCATGGGCTGGTACCTCTTAAAACCTCTTACCCATCAAAGTGGATTATTAGCACCTATCTTGGCATCCTTAGCACTATGGTCTTGGGTGCTGTAGGTCTAGATACAGGCTCTTAAAACTATCTGCCATATTACTGGGCTGCTCTAAGTGGCAAGTCCTGCTTTTGGGAAGGAGGTTTTTCTGGGATTTGTTCAAATGAATGCCTGCTCATTCCTTTAGAATATATTCTGTTGGCATTTATATCTGTGGTGGTGTGGTGGGGGATACTAACATCAGTCCACGTAGATCTTGTCTCTAGATCAGTCTGTCAGTCTTCATTTGGAGGAACACACACACCTGGAGACCAGGGTGATTCTATACTTGACCCGGAAATTCAGGTTAGTTTTGTAATGATCTCAAAGGCCAAATTTGGACCTTCAGGTCAGGGTCACTCCAGACTAGCATTCACTCCTCCTAGCCTCTGTCATTCTAGAGCTGCCCCAGTATGACCCTGGTCCCCAGGGAGATTAATGATTTGTTTCTCTAGATGAGGGTGGAGCTAGGGACAGACGAGGGAAGGAGGAAAGGCAGAACAATTTATATTAAGAGTGAGTCAGAAGACTAAGATGATAATGTGTTCAGTGCAAAATAGTATGTATTTTGTACCATACATAGTGTGCCAACTTGTCTGGTAAAATAAAACTTGTATTATTACAAACCTTTCTCTTTTATTCCAAGTTTATTACTTAATCCTCAGTTCCATCTGTGAAGTGACTTTTGCCTTACTGATAAATTCTGTCAGGACACAAGTCGGTGTGGGATTAAGAAAATCCCATTGGTTTTTTTGTTACTATAGAACAGTCATCCTCAGTAGATGAGGAATGATCTAGAACTGTTGTCCTAAGTCACTTTAGTAGTTTACCGCTTCAGATTAGTTAATATGATGCATCAGACTATGTTGGGCATTTGGCCCCTTTCCTTATGAGTATTAGTCCCCAGTTTCTATGCCATAATGGACCTCAAAGCCGGATTTGGAGATTAGGCTTATTTTTATGGTGTTTTTTTTTTGGTGGGAGGGAGTACAGATGCAAGTGACTTTTATTTGTTCCTTAGCCAAATATTTGTTCCCCATTCTTAAAAGTCCTATAAAGTGGCTATAGATTATCATTTGGGCTTTTAGAATCTTTTCTGTGAGTATTTAAAAATAGACAAGCTGTCAATGTGTATAGTTTAGGCATATTTCTGCTAAATGTACAGGGTTGGACAGGTCTTGGTAAATTAAAAGTGAATCATTACTTATTTTTATTTTTAAGTATTTTGAAATTAAAGTATACTTTATGTAAGTGAAATCCACCTTTTTAAAATGAAGAGTTGTATGAGTTATGACAAATGCATACGTGTAATCACCACCACAATGAAGATATAGGACATTATTGTTACCCCTAAGATTTCTTTGCTCCTTGTAGCCAACTCCTTCTCCCACCTGCAACCCATGGCCACCATTTGTCAGTTTTCTGTTCCTACAACCACAGTGCCTTATAGATCAGTCATACAGAGTGAAGCTTTTTGAACTGGCTGCTTTCACTTGCTGTAATGTCTTGGATTCATCCCTGTTGTATGTGTCAGCCGTTCATTGGTGTATATTGCTGAGTGGTGTTCCACCATATGGGTGTACCACAGTTTATTTACCCATTTACCCATTGAAAGACATTTGGATTATTTCCAGGTTTTGGAAATAATGAATTAAATCACTATAAACATTTACATGCACGTTTTTGAACATAATTTTCATTTCACTTAGTTAAATCCCTAGGAGTGGGATATCTGAGCCATGTGGTAAAGCATGTATAACTTTTTTAAAATTAAGGTATCATTGATATACAGTCTTATAAAGGTATCACATGAACAACATTGTGGTTTCAACATTCACCCATATTATCAAGTCCCCCCGCACCCCATTGCACTCACTGTCTATCAGCGTAGTAAGATGCTACAGAGTCACTACTTGTCTTCCCCTTGCTGTATGCTGTGCTGTACTGCCTTCCCCGTGACCTACCCACATTGAGAATGCTAATTATAATGCCCTTAATCCCCATCTCCCTTCCTTGCCACCCACCCTCCCCAACCCCTTCACTTTGGTAACTGCTAGTCCCTCGGAGTCTGTGAGTCTGCTGCTGTTTTTGTCCCTTCAGTTTTGCT